CTATGCCTCGCACTTCCCCTATTCCTTTAGACCTTTTCTTCCTATTTCATATTATCAATTATACATTTTGATTCTTATTTGCACTTTTAGTTTTTCACACCAGAGAAGCGATTCAGTATTTACACATGTGTGTCCTATTTATTTCACTTAAGAGTATGGCCTCAATGTGATATGTTGATAATTTTTTTTTTGGTACCGGGGATTGAACTAAGGACCTTGTGCTTGCGAGGCAGGCAGCGGAACCACTAAGCTAAATCTCCGGCCCTATGTTGATAATTTTTGAAACCAAGTGATGGATATCTGGGCTCCAGCTATAAAAATTTTTATAATAAAAAAATTTAAAGTTTTTTTTTTTTGTCAGAGTCTCAATATGTGATTTGGGCTGGCCTCAGATTTGTAATCCTCCTGCCTCAGTTTCCTGAGTGCTGGGATTATAGATGTGTGCCACCGTATCTGCTTTGTTTGTTTGTTTTTAAATGTTTTAAAGGCATTTCATGGGCCATTTGTCTTCTTGCTTGATTGGTAGGTAGGTGGGAGGTAGAGGTGAAATTAGGGGAATTGGATTTTCTCTTCGCTCCGTCCCCATTGCCCATTGCTTTTGTTGGATCTTGGTTTGTGGAAGCCAGGATGCTCCAAGACACAACTCCCCTCTGCACAGCCATGCAAGAAGGGAGGGGCTGGAGGTCCAAGCTGGGTCTCCTGTCCCTCTGTCAGCACTGACTTTTGGGCAACTGCTTCATCATCTCTGTCAGGGCTTAAAGTCAACAGGTTCAAAGTCCTTCATGATCATCAGGGAGTTATGAGGACAACTGCTTGTCCACACACAGCAATACCTTGAGGGGTGGGGAAGTGGCAGTTGGCAGGGAGCCTTGGGGAGGCAAAAGAGCAAAGGATAAAGGGAAACACCTTTCCTCCGAGATACCACCCTGGTGATTCATCTGAGATGTGGAGAAAAGAAACAAATGAAGTGCGCAGGACTCTTGTCCCTTCCCTTTTCCTTCTGCCCTTGAACAAAATTCTTCCTCTCATACATTTGTGGTATGAACATGGCGAGCCCTCTCTCAATTCCCCACAGGGACCTCCAGGGAGCAAGGCAGGTCAGACTTTGGGTACTTGCATTTCAGGGGTTGCTTGTGTCTGAATCTCTTTCCTTTCCCTCCTGTTCCTCACTTGCCCCATCCTGCAGAGGTGGAACATAACCCAGTCTTTTGTCTATGCTCTGCCTTCAGTACACTGCACACTGGTGTAAGGTCCATTGGGTAGAGCGGGCAGGTGACAGATCCACAGTGAAGGGCGTGGGTGGAAAGTCTGTGGCTGGAGTGGGAAACGTGTCTATAATGAAATACCTGAGGCTGAATACATTTATTAAGGAAAAATTTTGGCTCATGGTCCAAGGGTGAGGGGCTGTATCCCATGATGGCCTTCTTGCACGCAGAGTCTGGAGGCGGCTAAGGGTGCATCACACGGTAAGAAACAGGGAGTCAGGTCTGTACCTGTGTTTCTTCTGGGCTTTCTCCCTCTTACAAAGCCACCAGGATTCAATCATGGGGGCTCTACGCTACTGACCTTAACTACTCTAATCACTTCACAAAGGCCCCTCTCTGAACACCATAGTTGATTAAGTTTTTACCATCTTAATACTTCACACTAGGCATCAAGTTTCATAGTGGTTGGGAGTGGTGGTGAGGGGTAAACCTAATTCTAACCGCACCAGTAAATATTTGTTGAATGAATGACTATAAAATTAAGTTAAGCTCAGAGAGCCAAATTTCATTAAAAAGTCTGAAAGATAGACTTAAACTTTATCTGGTATTATTTTATTCTAAAACACCACACATAATAGTCTAACATATACATAATATGCACTTTTTTGGAGGCAGGGGTCTGACTATGTATTGCAGGCTGGACATGAATTCACTATATAGCCTGGCCTTGGACTCACAGGAATCCTCCTGCCTCAGCCTCCTGAGTCCTGGGATTACAAGCATGTGTGACGACACCCAGTTTTAATATATATGTGTGTGTATGGCATCTATCTATCTATCTGTCTATCTATCTGATTTTCCTAATTGCTATTTGAATAAAATAATTCTGGTATGACTATCTCATCTAACTGAAAAGATGATTTTGCATTTTTTTTTTTTTGGTGGCACTAGGGATTGAACTACTAAGCACCATCCCTAGCCCTTTAACTTTGTGTGTGTGTGTGTGTGTGTGCGTGCACACGCATGTGTGTGTGACAAATTCTCAGTAAGTTGTCCAGCTTTCTCAGTACTGGCACAATTACCCCACACACATGACTTGTAAAGGAGAGAGGTCTATTTGGCTTGCGATTTCAGAGAATCCAATATGCAATCTGATCAGCTGGCTCCAAGGCAGAAACATCACGGTGGAAGACGTGGTGGGGCAAGGCTGCTTATTTGTTGTGCCTGGAAGCAGAGCAGGGAAATGGAGAGGGAAGGGGCCAAGGACTAGCTACAGACCCCAATGCCATACCCCAAGACCCACCCAGACATCCAGAAGTGTGCTACTGATCCCCCAGGCAGCTCCCAAGCCAATCAAATTGACAAGCATAACTGTCACATCTGCCCCTTGTCAGCTTGATGCCCAAACACATCTCCTTAAATCATACTTAATATCCAAATAAAGGCAATAATAAGCTCATCATTCCACCTAACACAATACAGAAATTCAATAACCCCATCCCCAGAGTCTCAAAAGTTCCAGCATTTCTCAAAAGTCAAAGTCTCTTTTGAGACTGAAGGCAAACTCTTAGCTGTGAACCTCTATAAAAATTAAAAAACAAACAAACAAACAAGTTACAGAATCCCAGGCTACAATGGTACAGAATAAACATTCCCATTCCAAAAAGGAGGAGTGGGGGATAGAAAAGAATTGGATCAAAGCATGGAAAACATTAAATCTTGTCACTTTCTTTCCTTCCTTTCTTCCTTCCTCCCTTCCTTCCTTCTTTCCTTCTATTTTATTTTTGGTGTTTTGAAACAGGGACTCCTTATATAGTAAGCTGGCCTTGAACTTGCAATCCTCCTGCCTCAGCCTCCTGAGTGCTGGGATTACAGTGCATGCCACCACACTAGGCTTGTTTCTGATTTCTTGCTTCACATTGTCTGTCCCTGTTTGACTGTAGAGGAGGCTGAGGGAATTTATTGTGCATCTCTACAACCTCTGTGAACTTCCCATACTGGCTTTGACTCCCTTTGCTCATTAATGGGCGAGCCACCTCACCAGAAGACAAAAACTAAGGAAAAAAGATTCCACACCCAAATAACACATAAGAAAACAAAAAGAAGAGTGTATTAGAAGCTTAGAAGCAGTAAAATAATCCAGACAAAATACACAGTTTATTCAGAAACCACTAGGGTTATAGCCATGTCTAGCAATGTTGAATTCCAACAGCTTTTCTTAGATTGATTGACCTTGGAATTTGAGAGCCCTCAGTTTTGAGGAAGTGTGAAAACTCCTTTCTCTTTTCCAGTTTCCTAATTTATCTTCTCATTGTTCCCCGAATCTCTAGGATTCAGATGACACGGAGCTTGCAGTGAAATGATGGGCAAGGAGGGTGTAGGGGCAAGGAGGGTGTAGGGCCGAGGAGGGAGGTTTTTCCCTGAGGGATTAAGGATGGAGGTGTAGGAAGCCAGTTGTGGGACATCTAGGGATTCCTGATTATCCCGAGTGGGTGAATTTATTACCTGGCTGTGGAGATCTGTTAAGTGGGGGCTCCTAGCCTTCTTGGGGCTGAACTCAAAGTGAAATCAGGACCATAATGGGCATCTGAGGAGGAAGGGAGGAGAAGGTGGGAAGGAACAGATCGAATTTTAAGGCCACTTAGGTAGAACTCATCTATATGAGAGCACCTGTAGTAGCTAGAGTGTGGATCCTGGGATTCAGGAGTCTGAGGTTGTAGCTCAGTGGTAGAGCACTTGCCTAGCATGCACAAGGTCGATCCCAGCACTTCCAAAAACCGAAGAAGTGTGTGTGTGTGTGTGTGTGTGTGTGTAACTTGTAACTTGACATCTTCCTGTCTCAATTTCTTTATCTGTAAAATAAGCATAATTTTTACCTCACAAGGTTTCTATGAAATTAGGCTAATTATCTAAGTAAGATGATTGGAAGTCAAAATCTGACTCATATCAGTAAAAACAAATGTGTTAGGTAGTAAAAATTTTTGTTGGATTACCAGTGTTTTTGTGTTATGCAGGACCTCTCTCCGTACAGGTAGCTAATTTAGGGCTGGTTATGGAGAGGGTGTCTCCTCCCATAGCTTTTCGGCATTAGTTGAGGCATCCTTGAGAATCTAAAGAGAGGGAAAAATCCTTTCAACATGAGACAGCAGAGTCAAAGAAGAGGATACTGGGGCTCAGAAGTGAATGTTAGGCCTTCTGTAGACAATTCTGCAGTTCCTGCTTACAAGTGAGATTTGAAATGGGGCCAAAGGTGGGAAAAGACTTGAGACTGATCAACTATGATTAAAGTGTTCACTTCAAGCTTAGCTATTTCCATGTTCACAAATCCCTAAGAAAACACTAGCCCAAAATACCAGGGACCCTGGCAGGTTATTTTTGATATGTTTTTTGAAATGAGGCTCTGGACTACCTACCTTTACAGAGTATTGGGTCCTCTGGCCTCAAGGTGAAGAGTCACACAGTTAAATTGGGTGGGAGGAAGCGTGGAGTATGAAATTTGTTTCTTCCCTTCACTTGCCTTTACAATTTGCCACAAGATGTAGGGAAAAAAATCAACAGTTTAATGTAGCAAATTTGCCGGGTGTGGTGGTGTACACCTATAATCCCAGCGCTCTGGGAATAAAAGATAAAAAGGGCTGGCATGTACTTTATCGCAAAGGCTCTGGTTTAAATCCTCAGTACAAAAAAAAAGTAGCAGGTAAGGCAAAGCTGGCTAAATGCCCCCTCATCCTTTTCAGTCCTCTGCTTGTGGGAGTTAGGAGACTCACCCCTGCCCCCCACTTTGTCTCTGTGCAGGATCAGAATGAACACACCCGCCCCAAATGGCTGCCGCTCAAACCTGGACTCCAGGTACCACAGACTTTGTGACCTGGCCGAAAGCTGGGGCATCGTGCTCGAGACGTTCGCAGCAGTGGGGGCAGTGACCTCGGTGGCCTTCATGCTCGCCCTCCTGGTCCTTATCTGCAAGGTGCAGGACTCCAACAGGCGCAAGATGCTCCCGACCCAGTTTCTCTTCCTCCTGGGCGTGTTAGGGGTCTTCGGCCTCACTTTTGCCTTCATCATCAAACTGGACGGGGACACGGGGCCCACACGCTTCTTCCTCTTCGGCGTCCTCTTTGCCATCTGTTTCTCCTGCCTCCTGGCCCATGCTTTCCAGTTGGCCAAGCTCGTCCGCGGGAGGAGGCCCCTGTCCTGGCTGGTGATTCTGGGCTTGGCTTTGGGCTTCAGCTTGGTGCAGGATGTCATCGCTGTTGAATACATTGTCCTCACCATGAACAGAACCAATGTCAATATCTTCTCTGAGCTTTCTGCTCCCCGTCGAAATGAAGACTTTGTCATGCTGCTCATCTACGTCCTCTTCCTGATGATGCTGACCTTCCTTGTGTCCTTCTTCACCTTCTGTGGCCCCTTCGCTGGCTGGAAGAAACACGGGGCCCACATCTGCCTCACCATGATCTTCTCCCTCGCTGTCTGGGTGGCATGGATCATCCTGCTCTTGATTTCCACCCTCGACCCCAAATGGGATGATGCCATCCTTGGCACAGCCTTGGTTGTCAATGGCTGGGTTTTCCTGTTGTTTTATGTCTTACCTGAGTTTCTGCTGCTCCCAAAGCAGCAAAACCCCATGGATTACCCAGTGGAAGATGCTTTTTGTAAACCCCAACACATGAAGCAGAGCTGTGGTGCAGAGAACAAAGCCTACTCTGAAGAGGAAATCACTCCAGGTAGGAATGAGAGACCCTTGGTGGGAGGATGGGGAAGGGATCGTAGGATATTATGACGGTGAGGAATATGCAGGATCTTTCCAGATTAAGCGTCTGAGAGAATGGAGAGTTTTTGCGAGGCTCCTACCTTGCTTAAAATCACCTAGTCAGAAACAAGTAGAACCAGAAGCTGTCCTTTGGGGCTTTCAGTTAGTGCTTTCCACACAACACCATGTAGGTGTCTCTCAACTGAAATGAGACAGGGCAAAGGAAAGGAAACAATCCTAGCGAGCAGCTGCAGTGCGCTTTATTTAAAAGCTAAGTAGATATTCCTTCCAGAAACGTGGAGCCTTTGTAAGTTTGAGTGCAGAGAGCCAGGCCGGGATCACAGATGGATCACATACAGGAGAGGAAAGAGTCCTTTTGTCACAAACCAGCAGGGATCTTCGTAAAGTTGCTGAGGGTTCCGATTTAGCATCAATGGCCACATTGGATTACGAGTCTCAGGCCCCATGGGGGGGGGGGAGATCATGCGTGACATTAAAGAATCAGATGAATTTTGCTCCTACCTGGCATTGTGAGAAAGCAGATACTCTTGCTGATGTTGTCCTAAGAGGAGAGAGTGAAGTGAGCCGGAAACTGCCCTCGCTTGTAGGGATCAGTTCACTGGTTTGCAGGGGGCACATTGATCCTGAAATGTAATCCCAGTGGTGTGTGTGTGTGTGTGTGTGCGCGTGTGTGTGCACGCATGCGTGTTATTTCTGGGCAGGAATGAGGGACCTTCAAGACTTGGTTCTCAGCTCCAGCTAAATGGCAGTCTTTTCTTTTCTCTTAGAACCTGGGGTTTGTCCCTGCGGCTGGGCCTCTCTCCTGGGCAGGTGGGGAGGACAGGAGAAGATCTTCTACCCACCCCACCCCTCCTGTGCATTCCTGGGGCTTTCCTCTGTCACCTCACTCTGGGGCTCCTTGCTATCCATTACTACTGACTCCTTGGCTTTCATTTTTGGGGCCACTGTTAGCTTATTCTCCCCACAGGGCCCCTCATTGTTCACTCCTGATCCCTTGCATCCTGGGACCTGTAGGAAGGCTTCCACCCCGCTTCCCCCTGCCTCTGTGTTGGGGTGAAAACGTGGCTAGCTCTGGCTGATTTGGCTTTCTTCCTTCCTTCCCAGAACTAAGTGTTCCCCTGTCTCCCGCAGGAATTACTCTGCCTGCATTATCTGCAGAACCTTGAAATGCTCTTATCAGAGTGTCTCAGTCACTAGGTATTTGTGTCTGTCATATATTCCTGAGTCTCCAGGGTGAGTCACAGGGCAGGGATGGTTCTAGTTAATCCTTATACTCCTCACAATATCTCACATATAGAAGGGTTCATTGAGCACATCAGGCAGGAAATTTGGTGGGAAATACACGAACTGGTTAAAATTGCCTCCATGATGATGGCATGTATTGACTCTTTTGTTTCCAAGTTTAAAGCCCCCTGGTTTCCTCCAAAACACATAGAAACCAATTGCTCATAAATTCTTCCTTTGTTTTCCTTGTCAGGCAGTTAAGGAAGCCGGTAAATCCCCTATGAGATTTGCTCTAGGTTCCACCCCTGGTCAGCTCTCTATGGGAAAATACTTTAAAAATAACTTTTCAAATGTGCTTTTTCAGTGGTCCTACAATAAGGTGGGGCTGCTGGTCCACAGTTTGGAAAGGGGTTTCCCTGGTGACCACACGCTGCTAATCATTCACTGGACCAGCATTGTGCTGAATTGGTTCCTCGCTTCTGGGCTTGAGGGCACTCTCCTGAAAGAAACCTGAAGTCCACTAGAGAGACAAAGGGGCAGGCTGTCACAGACACCTCCAAGTGATGTAATGCACAAGCAGGTGGGGGCCCCCTAATACTTTAATTTCTCATCTCCCTCTGTTTCAGGTTTTGAAGAGTCCCCTGACACGCTGTATGCTCCTTATTCCACCCATTTCCAGCTACAGGTGACTGCTCGTTCTCCTTCCTTGTAAACAGCATTCACATCCCAGGGACATTTGTCCTTTGGCAGCAGAAGTTGGCACCACTCTGACGGCTCCTAGGTGGCCACCTTGAGAGATGACCTGTCTTCATTCATCCTTGAAATCTGGGTGGAGGGTGGAGGACAGGGAGGGGTCTGCGCAGGGACTGGGAGAGGGGGAAGGAAGTTAGACTCTGTCCAGATTGGGAATCTGTTAGATTGGCTGGGAACTGTGTGGGTTTCATGATATGCTTGTTTCTTTTTCAGAACCGGGCTCCTCAAAAAGATTTCTCCATCCCACGGGCCCAGGCTCAGCCCAGCCCTTACAATAACTATGAAGGAAGGAAAGAAGGCAGATAGCTGTGTTCTGAAGAGTGGCAGACCCAGTGGGGAGCCCAAAGGGCTGTGGGCTAAATCTGGAATCCTCTGGAACCGTACAGAACGTCCGTCACAGGAGGGCTCGCTGGCGCAGATGGCAGCCAATAAGACTCCAGTTCCTTGCGGCACTGTCCTGCTTTTCCTTTGTCCCATACTTAGGATACTTCTTTGGAGTGGAATTCTCGGGCAACTCAGGGTCAGACTCTTCCTATTCTCTCAGTGTGACTAGAGGTCTGGTCCCCTGGCCGCAGGCTGGCTTGTGCAGCTTCGAGAGAGCCGACTCACCCAAGCCAGGGTGGGTTTTGTGACGATTGCTTGGCCCAGAGCAGAACTGCGTTTTTGAGCAAAAGCAGCCACCTTGGGTCTCAGCCCATGCCAGTCTAATCCTACACTGGAAGCCAGCTCCCTCCCCGCCTTCCTACCCAGGCCAGGCTAAAGGTCACCCTGAAGCTGCTCCTCCCGTATGGCCTGCGCAGCTCCCTACATCCAGCTCACAGGGCACCCCTCCTGTACAGGCTTGCTCTCAGCCCCCGACCTACTGCACCCACTGGCTTTGCCGGGCATCCTACCTGACCTCACTGGCACAGACAAGCCGAGCTTCTGGTGAGGAGAGCCGTGCGCTATTCTCAAGGTCGGTTCCTGGCTCAGGTCCTTGTCCCACCCCTTGGCCTTCAGCCTCTGTAAGTAGATTTGCGCTGTGCTCACCTCCCAAATTCTGTGCCTGGGGATTGTCTGCACTTGAGGGAACGTTTGTTGTGTGGTAAGTTATTCACCTGGATTCACAATAAAGATGTGGCAGATTCTTCCTTTTTCTCTTTTTTTTTCTTTCTTTTTTTAAGGTACTAGGGATGGAACCCAGGTTTTCATGCAGGCCGGGTGAGCTAACACTGAGCGACACCCCCAGCCTTGGTGGTGGCTTTTACCACACCAGCACAGGTGGTGGGTGCCTGGCGCTGAGGCAGACACCTCAGGCTCCCCTGTTGGGCCGCAAGTTGGAGCTTCAGCCCAGGTCCAGTTCTCCTGGCTTCTCCCATGCCTCTCCTTCCCCTTGTTATTTGTAAGACAAGTGAAGCCCCAGGTTCTGAGGCTGTGAAGGGTAAGGGAGCTGGGAAGGGTCATGGCTCCTGAGGTGCTGCTGCTGCAGCAGAGAGAGGCGTGGCAGCCCTGGGAAGACAGGGCCACCTCACAGCCAATCTCATGTTTTATCTGAGGTTTGCTCACAGGAGAGGGCATATCCAGAGCTCTTGGTTGGTAGAATTGGCTCACAATGTCTCTTGGCAGACATGGTACCTCAAAAATACCATTTCTAGCTGGGCGTGGTGGTGCAGTCTAATCCCAGCACCCTGGCAGGCTGAGGCAGGAGGATCAAAAGTTTGAGGCCAGCCTGGGCAACTGAGTGAGACCCTGTCTCAACATTTAAAAAAATTTGAAAAGGGCCAGGTATGTACTGTAGTTCAGCGCAAAGATCCTGGCTTCAACCTACAGGAGGAAAAAACAAACAAGCAAACATATTTACTTAATCCAAGAAATAGCTCTATGAAGCAGAAGATATCTCTCTTTAGTGAAGAAAAAGAAAATCCCTATGCATAGAAACCAAATGACATTTACAAATTTGTAGCTAAATTAGAAAGTTACCCACAAAGAGCCTGACATTCTGTTTTTCATCAAAAGAAGAAGGAGGAGATGGAGAAGGAAGAGAAGGAGAAGGAGAAGGAGAAGGAGAAGAAAAAGACCAGTGGGTGTGGTGGCATATGCTGTAATCCTAGTACTCTGGAGGCTGAGGCAGGAGGATCTGCAGTTTGAGATCAGCCTGGATGACCTAGTGAGACTGTGTCTCAAGCATAAAACAACAGCAGAGTGTAGTGATGCACGTGTACAATCCCAGCACTCAGGAGGCTGAGGTAGGAGGATTGCTGTGAGTTTGAGGCCAACCTGGGCTACATAGTGAGTTCAAGGCCAGCCTGGGCTACATAGTGAGATCCTGTCTCAACGCCCCCCACCCCCAAAACCAAAACAAACCAAAACGAAAAACAACCAACCACGCAAAAAGCCAACACAACAACAACAGCAACAAAACAAGAACAACAAAAGAAAAAACCCGATGTGGGACGGAGGTGAGATGAATTAATGACATGATGAATTATAGATTAGGGGTGCTTACATTCCACAAAGATTTAGTTGATAGACTTTGCAGTAACATTAGCTTTTTTGAGTATGTATGTATGTATGTATGTATGTATTTATTTTTTCCAGTACTGGGGGCCAAACTCAGGACCTTGCACTTGCAAGGCAGGTGTGGCGCCACTGAGCTAAACCACTGGCCCTTCCTTGAGTATTTACTGAGAAGGGGACTGGCCAGTCATACAGATCCTTCTAGACTGTGCCAATTTGCAAGAAACCAGGACCCAGTGAGTCGTCACCAGGAGACAGCACTGCGGCTTCCCCTTCGCCATCTGACACAGAGCAGGACCCTGAGAAATACACAGTCCCTTTTGTGTAGGGAAGAGTACAGCTTTCCTCCTCTTGACTCGCCAATCGACTCGAGAGTTCTGTGATGTTAAAAGGCGTGAGGATTCTCCCACCAGCAAGCAAGCAAAGCTGGAGCAGGTATCGGTTGGGGGCGTCCTCTGACTCAATTAAGTTCAGACGCTCCTCTTCTGGAGACAGGGTCGGATTCCACAGGTGGGGTTCAGCGCCCAAGCCCCTCCCACACACCAATCCCAAGCCCCACGTTGGTTGTTCTACTTGTACCTCTGACCCACAGCTGTACGTGGGAGTTTCAATTAAGCTGCTTGAGTGGTAGGGAGACATATTTCCCGGCTTGCTGTGAAGGACATTACAAAGGACACAGATCAGGAGATGTGTGGCATGACGTATAAGGAAGGAGCCCAAGGCTCCCCTCTCTGGTCCCTCTGGGGACCCCATGTGTCCAGGTGTCCAGGAGCTCTCTGAACCCTGTCCTTCTGGGGTTCATGGAGACTTCACTGCACAGGAATGATTAATAACAACACTGCTGAGAGACGGGTGGGAGGGAAGCCAGCATGGGCTGTCTGTTCAGATTCTCCTGGGTCCTTCTGTGAGGCATTTCAGGGCATGGGGTAGGAGCCCTGTGGAATAAGGAGGGCCGTATGACTGACAGTCAGACAAGGTGAGTGCCTGTTACTTCCTCGTCTTTGAGACACAATACCTGCATCTGAAACTTAAAGAAAGAGGTTTATTTTGCCTCATGGGTTTTAGAGGAGTCAGTCCATGGGTGACTGGCTCCAAGACAGGAAGGGCATGGTGAAAGGTCTGACTGCTCACACCATGGCAGTCAGAAAGTACAGACAGAAAAGGCAGGAACCAGGGAGGAAGATGAACCAAGTCCAACCAAGTCCCACCTTCCAACAGCAAGTCAGTGCCCCCCCATAGTCCAATCACCTTCTAAAGCTCCGCCTCTGAACACGAGTCTTTTGGGGGACAGTTTGGATCTAAATCATAACAGTAAGTCAGGAAGTTTATGGCCAGGTTAAGGCAGGGTAGACTGGAATTTCTATGACCTGCCTCAGGAGGGTGTTATAAGCCTGGAATGGTGCTCAAGAACCCAATGAGTGCATAGCATTATATCTTTTTGGTCTTTCTTTCTCTGGTCTTCAACCATCAATCAAGAAAGGAGGGATGAATGAATGGTAAAAGCACGCAATGCTCTGAGTCTCCTCAGGGAACAGAGCCCGCCAGGCCTTTGTGCCGTCCCAGCCTCCCTCCTCAGGCCAACTTCTTCACACACTGGAGGAGACCCGGGACCAGCACCCATCTCCATCTCTGCAAATGTTTGTCTCTTGTGAGGCACAGTGGTGTCCGGGGTTGGAGCACATAGGCCACTGCCTCACTGAACTCTTGTCCCTTCAGGGGGCAGAAGAAAGCTCCCTGTTTGAGCAGCGCTTGTCACCCCACAGGGCTGTTTGCTTGTTTTCGGGTGTCACATTTCTGCATACAAATAAGCTCTTTTGTTAACGTGGGGACACTTCAGGGGTTGGGGTTTCAGCATCTGAGAATCATTACATTGAGAATGAAGAGGATTTCTTACTCAGGAGAGGGGAGGTTAGAAAGTGAAGATTTAGCCCAGCCAGGTCCTTCGGTGACTTCAGTTGATTGATAGCTTAGAACAAGAGCGACATCTCTTTTGAACTAAATGGGTGATAATGAAGTAAAGCTCAACAACCTCTATCTTCCTCAGATGAGAACAAGCAAGACCTTGGGCCTTGGGCTCCCTGTAGGCCGCGTCCAAAGCTGCCATACCTCTCAATACCACTAGATGGCGGTAAAACCTCAGCCTTCAACTCTCAGGATTTAAAGCCTCTCAAAAAACAGACGTGGAAAGCTGCTTTACTGGGAAGGGCGTGAAGCAGAGATGTGAGAGGCAAACACGTCCAATTTTATTTATTTATTATTTATTTATTTATTTTTTCTACATGACACATTTATTGGAGTTGTGCCTTTCCTAACACATTGGATTAAATAACTTTCAAAAGCATGGTTTGGTCACATTCTGGGACACCTAGTATTTCACGTTTTTTTCTCCCACGTGCCCTTTAGTACAAGTATGTCTAACAGACACGCTGCAAGGTAAGGGATGGTGATATTCTCTTCTTGGGTCATGTGTATGGCCAGTACTCTTATTTTGTGGGTGGACTCAACACAACAGTATCTACCTGGCACTTCCATCTTCCCTGTTTGCTTCCGGAAAGGCACTAAAGTATTTGTATTAAACATTCTGTCCAGAGGGATAATACCAAGTTCTCCTTTTCCTCACCTGTAGTTAGTTTCAGGTCCTTGACAGAAATAGCTGAACTGTTCCAAATTTGCTTCAGTGCATTCACATGTGAGAAAGGAAAGCGAAGTCCATGAGACTCTGATTCCTCATTTCCCATCATGTGTGTGTGTGTCTCCTGTTCTTTAGAGAATGATAGGTGTAAACCATCTTTTCTTGAGCTTCATCGGATCGATTCTGATCTGGCCCTACTGTGAGGATGATGTGGTCTCTAAATTGCAGTCTCACTATGCTGTGACCTCGGTAACTTTCCACCTGGTGTTGACAACTCTGTTCCATCGCCTACGAAGTAAGGGGGAAGTCTGTGTATTACAAAATCCTTCTTCACATCTGATGAAAGCAGTTCTTTAGTGCCCTCCAGTTGTTCTGCAAGAGTCCTCAGAAAGCTACTTAATCTTGTTGCAACAGTTGATGTTTCCACCTGCGTTAGCAGCTGCCGTGGTATTCCACTCACTCCGTAACTCCACATCTGCCTTTGCAGTATCAAACACAAGCCCTGAAACGGTGCCCAAAAGGAAATCTCCCCATGAATTGTTCTGGTATGTGCTGATGGTCACGTGAGTAGAGTGGGCCAGGCCTGGAGGAGTGTCTGCCTGATGAGTGGGCCCTCTGGGAAAGTACAACAAATCACCTGGCTTCAGTGTGAACTCATGTGTCCGCACCAAGCCGGGCCTCATGCTCCACACTGTACTCGCGTGCCAGGGCCACTGTGGGCGGGTAGAGCCGCCAGAGCTTCTCTGCCTCCAGCTGCAGGATGAAAACCTCGACATCGTCATAATGTGGAGGTAGGCCCTGAGATCCTGCAGGGGGTATGCACACATCTGAGCCGACCAAGGAGCCAAAGTAACATTCTAGCCTCTCCTGGACGCTCCAAAGCTCATCCTTGAATCTGAGGTTGGTGAAACTGAATTGTTGCCCTTTTCTCAGCTGAAGAAAGTGCACTTTGCCATCTTTGTTTAAAACCTTTTTCCCATTGACACATGGCAGACATTCCCATCT